AGAAGCTGGACTATATGAAGAAAATGTGGCATCAGTATTGGAGGAAGAATCGTTAACAACTTGAGATACACAGACAATACAACTTTGCTTGCTGAAAGTGAGGATGACTTGAGGCACTTACTGATGAAGGTTGAAGAATACAGTCTGCAGTATGGATGACATCTCAATATAAAGAAAACAAAAATCTTCACAACTAGACCAATAAGCAGCATCACGATAAATGGAGAAAAGATTGAGGTTGTCAAAGAATTCACATTGCTTGGTTCTACAATCGACGCCAACGGAAGCAGCAGTCAGGACATTAGACAACGTGACATGTAGCACTGGGCACGCTGGCCATGAAGGAACTCTTTCAAGTGCTGAGGAGCAAGGATGTCTCCCTGACAACTAAGGTGCACCTGACACAAGACTCGTACACATGTGAGAGCTGGACAATGAATAAGGAAAACCGAAGAAGAGTTGATGCTTTTGAATTGTGGTGCTGGCGAAGAATGCTGAAAGTACCATGGACTGCTAAAGAACTAACAGATCTGTCCTGGAGGAAGTGCAGCCGAGATGCTCCTCTGAAGTGAGAATGGCCAGACTTTATCTCACCTACTTTGGTCATGTTGTCAGAAGGGACCGTTTCCTAGAAAAGGATGTCATGCTTGGTAAGATGGAGGGTTGACGAAAGAAGGGAAGGCCTTCAACGAGATGGACTGACACGGTAGCTGCAACAATGGGCTCAAGTATAGCAGGGATCATGGAGGTGGCGCAGGATCGGGCGATATTTCATTCTGCTGTGCATGGGGTCGCTATGAGTCAGAAACGACTCAACGGCTCCTAACAACAACATACCCCTGCCATTGGGCATCCCACTTGATAGTCCCACCAACACCTAAAATTCAACATGCCCAAAATGAAATGTCTGTGTAAGCCCCACCACAAAGAGAATCTAGTCATCTTCCTGTTTATCCTTGATGAGTGAACACTTACATCCAATTAACCACAACATTTCCAACTAGAAGGGATTACTGTCCCATGTCCCAGCCGCTATCATGATATCCCTAAACACTTATCTGAGAGGAAGAACTTCTGGAGTCGGCACGCCTAGGTGTGCTAGTTGGAGGATTAAAACCTTCCCCTCTGGAAAGAGCAGAGTTGGAGCAGGGAGCCAAGGTGACTGGCTTAGCCACTGCAGCTATAAGTTAACACACTTACAGCTTAATTCACACAGGACCAGTTTATCGACATTACTCATAAAGTGAACTTTGAACCATACAAACCTATCAGAAAAGGAAATGGCAAAACCGAGTAACATAAAAGGTATTTTAAATTAATTTCAAATTAGCATTATTTTTGGAACATCAATAAACTAATGATTCTATCTTCTCCTAAAACTTTTCTTTAATGGCGAAATCAAAAGGACACCTAGAGTGACCTCATTTTGTAAATTGCCACATTAGAAACCTGACTTCCCACTGAGCGGGCTTCCGGATCAAACACGCGCAATAACTCTGGAGAGCACGGTCAGGACGCGGCAGAGCACGTGAGGAGAAGAAAACGAAGCTGTACCGACGGCCGCCTTGGCCCCGAGAGCCTGCACTGCAGCCATGGTGTGCACAATGACGCCCTTGGGGAACTCCGACCAGGATGGGGGCTTGCCATCGACGGTAATGATGTGCCGCAGGCGTGGGACTAAAGAAACAATGTCCTGGGGAGACACAAGCAGTCGTCACGGTCCAGAACATGAGAAAAGCAGTTTGCCATAATTAGTGAATTAGTAATTTGTCTCAAGAAAAGCAAGCGGAAAGGATGCACTGGCGTAAACATCACTTTCTCTGATGAAAAAACACTGGCCTGGAATTGACCCTTCTGTTTTCCAGCAGCAGATCTACCATGTGTACCCTTGTTCTTTGGTAAAATCCTAATCAACGAAATTACATCTTTGTACATTGAGCAGGTAAAGACAGGCTGCCTGGACTGCATTATCGTTGCCATGTGCTGTCAATTCATAGCAACCCGGGTGACAGAGAACTGCCCCATAAAGGTTTTCTAGGGTGCAGTCTGAGGGCAGCCAAAAGTCCCTCCATGATTTCAAGAGAGTTGTCTAGAGACTAAAGAAACTCCTTTCTCCCTTTAAAACTTCTGAAAACTCGTAGCTACTTAATGCTTCAAAAAAATAAATTACTAGTTTAAAAATAACCCCTCAAAATTACATTATTTTTTGGAAGAAGACAAGAAATTAGATAAGCATGAAAAGGGAAGAAAATGTCATAACTGCTTCTACTTAGATACAGACACATTAAAATTTAACATGTAATTCTCTCGATGCTGTAACTTGGTATATATGAAATCTAATTTTTCATTTAAAAAAGAAAACTTATGATATTTGTAACAGCTTACAAAGACATTAAGGATTTAAAAGATCATATAAGAACAAAAAGTATCAATAGTAGGATTCATAACACTGAAAATTCTACACTATCAGACACAGTGAAAAAGTAGCTACTACTTACCTTCAATTTTGTTTGCAAGAGTTCTTTACTAGTAATGATGTTGGTAACTTCTGTTTCATTTAATCCATGGACAATTGCTGGACCTCCCAGAGTAGCATATAAGGTAACAACTAAGGGAAAAAAGAGGTAAAGTAAGATATCAAACACTTCATGGAGCTGCCAAGTGTAAATAAGTACCCAATAAAAGGAAACGTGAATGACAGGAGAGAATAACCCATTGCCGTGGAGTTGATTCTGACTCAGAGCAACCCTGCAGCACAGAAGAAAACTACCCCACAGGATTTCCAAGGCTGCCAGTCTTTACAGAAGCAGTTTGCCTCATCTTCCTCCCTCAGAGTGGCTGGCTGAGTCTGACCTTTTGGTTAGCAGCCAAATGCCTTAACCACAGTGCCAGCTCTAATGGAGCATACTGATCCCTAAATTGCAAAATCCATTCTCAATAAAAACAGTAGTAGGTTCCTCTTTTTTTTAACTATTATATATTAATTAACATTATACTTACTCACACTCTTCCACTATCCCTCCAAATTTCTGACATTTAAAAACAAGATTTTTAAGGTTTGATTTTGTTTCAATTACAGATGTTAACCTATGACTATCATACTCAGGAGCAATTATAACAGATTTCTAAAATGTCTAAATCTTAATTATTGATGACTTGGTATTAAGTACATCAGTCTTATACCAGTAAGATGCTACATTGGATGTAATAGTTGAGGTGTTGTGTTGAGAAGATAGCATGAACAAACAGAGACACAGATAACTCTGTGGAAGAAAATCTAAAGAAAACATTCTTGGAAATGCTGAAATTATAGAGTAATGTTAACAATGACATGTATTTTTATTTGCTTTCTACCTTACTCCAAAAAAACAGTATGAGTTTGAAAAAGATAACTCTTTTTAAAGCTTTTCAAAAGTAATATAATATAAACCAAACCTATGATAACAAAGGGTATGCCTGTTTAAAGGAAAAAATGGTTGGGCATTTACAACAAGATAGCTGGTAAAAGGATCTTTTATAGTTTATCTGAAGAGTGAGACAATGTCCACATTCAACATCATCACATTCTGGCACCTGAGACCAAGGATTCAGCTTCCAGGACCTTCTCACAAAATGAACCACTTGATCACCATTCAAGTAAGTACAATACAAAGCTCTTTGTTTAATCAGGCACCTTGCATTTCATTAGGTTTGAATATGAGTGTGTTTTAGAGGTCAAACATTAGCAGTGACAGAAGTGGCATAAAAAATGACAGTAACTTGAAAAGGAGATTCCTGGCAGACATGTGAGAGCGATGAGCTGAAGGGGCAGTCTGGTGCAAGGGCGATGCAGGTTTCTCCCTAGCCCCTAGAACCAGAAAGACCTCCATTAAGAGATTCATGATCCCACTCACATTTCTCGATTTGTTCCACAAATGGTTTCTTCTTCAAAATGGACCAAAAAATCCAAGTTATAAAAGCCCTCCACTGATTAGATACAAGGTAAAGACAAAATACCTACTAACATCAGAATTTTAATCTCTTTAGAGTGATAAAGTTAGTATCCTCTCTCCCATGGTGACTTATGTACTCTTGCAGAAGATAAGAAAGCCTACATACGCTGAAAATTATACATGAAACACGCTTGTGCAGCAATCATCCACTCAGCCCTGGTCTCACAGAAGATAGCGATGGTGGTCTTTGGTTTCTGACCCAACATCTGTAAGCCACTTCCAAAATTAAAGGCCCGCACAAAGACATCTTCATAGGAGAGCCAATTATAGTGTCCGAGAATAACCTGATGAAACAAACAAAAATACAAATAGCTTTGATTATAACAAAAATATTAATTTACCGAAGAAACCTGGGTGTGTTCCAAATTTTATGACAAGCCAGAAAGTTCTATTTGCATATAATGAAACTTTTTTTTTCTAATGAAAAACTAAAAACTGAATTTCAAATGAAAAAAATCTATTAAAAAAAAAAAATCAGCAATTCAACTGGTAAACCATGCAATCCTCAGCCTATACAACTATGAGACCAGAAGAATTAGATGGTGCCCGGCTACCACAGTCAACCACTCAGAGGGGGATCTATGTAGGAGACCTTGGTTAGAGTGGGAGAACAATATGGAATAAAACTCAAAATCATTTGGGGAAAAAAAAAGGGGGGGACCAGGTTTGCTGGTCTGATAGAGCCTGGTGAACCACTGAGACTATGGCCCCTAGCTGCCCTTCAGGTCTGGAATTGAACCCACTCCTGTGGCTTCCAGTCAAACAAAAGACAGGCATATGAGTTGAACATTTACCTAAGGTTGATACACTCCTTGGAGAGAACAATCATGGGAGACAGCTCAGGGGGCAGGAGTGCATGGAGGGATGGACACAGGAAAGAGGTAACTATCAGGAGGAAGTGGGAGGGGAGCTGTTGCACTGGGGTAAATTGTAGTCAATGTCATGAGACAAAGTGTATGTGAACTGCTGTATGGAAAGTGAATTTGCTCTGTAAACT